CAATCGTTGGCCCGGATCTTCTTACAGGGCCCACGTTCGAGAACACCATGGTTTCTCGTATGATATTCTCGCTCTTCCCCCCCGGTACGTGTTACATACACCCGCCGATGTGTCCCTCTCCCCTGTGTCCCGTCGTTCTCTCGCGTCCCTCGTCTCCTTTTTCCTGTCACTCGTTATACATTTTATACCTATGGGAGAGGGCATCGTAGGGAAAGTTTGATTGGAAAGCGAGTTCACGAGGTATACACGTCACGCGGAGATCCCGTGGACGTCCCACAACGGAGGGAGAAGAAAAGCGAGAGGGTTTATTCCGGGGCTCCCGATTAATTAATGCACGCGTGTCGATGCTAACGAGAAAGAGACAAAAATCATTGGATAACGTCAGCCGGTGCTCAGTGGCTTGGCGATTGAACCGAGGGAAGCCGGGACCTGGGCTCTCCTTTGATAGCACCCGGCGAAAACAATGATTTCTTGCTAACGGGGATTGTGTGTATGGTGCTTCATGCTGCTGAGTAATGACTAGGCCTCGATTCTCACACACGATGGAAAAATAAATAAACGTTGAAACCGAACGCTCTTCTTTGGTCAAGGGTCTCGGTTCTATAGGAAACTTGCTATTCGTTCCTTCTTAATTGCATACCGGGTACTTTCGAACGGCTTTATACGCGGAGTCTTAATAGAGGTGGTTCGTATACGCAGATGGAACGATTCGCGCTTCCGTGAAATTGCTTTTGAGTCCATCGATCGGCGCTGCCAACGATGCTGGACTGAATACGATTCTTCCTGCGGTTCCCGCAATTTGCTGTTCGATTAAAAAATCTAGACAGTCATTTTGATCAACTTTTTTAGCAACAAATGTTGTCGATTAGTGAACTTCAAAGAACTCCATCTACATGAAATTCAAATTGTGGCGTATCATTGAGGAATGATATGGGCCACCGTCAAAGTATCGGTCTGCGTCATGAAACGTATACCTGGCCAATTCTGCAGCAAATGTACTTTATTATTGTACAGCAAATGTACTTATAATTGTACGGCAAATGTACTTTAAATTAAGTGTACCAATATATAACTTTATGTAGTCAATTTACATCTCACTAGATGGTATCTTTTGGATAAGCCTGTATAACTGATAATAAGAATCTTACATTTAATTGTTCAGCTGTATTTATGTTATCTAATGGTGTTACAGAAATAAATAGTACTGACTGTTAACACTTATGCTGCAGCAAAAGATGTTATAACATACGATACAATATTTTCCTGTCTGCCTTCCTCAAGTTTTATAACCTTGCTCCATGATCTTATATTATGGCGTAAACTCAGAAGATTGTAATACAGAAAAGTAACAAATATTTTCAGTAGTAACAATAATAAAATACGTCGACAAAACATCGACAAATATTATAATAATATATGTAATTCGATAAAAAACAATATGATTTAATGTAGCAGTAAGCATAATGCATGAGACTCGAACAGAAATGAAGCAAGAGTCCCGATAGGAGATTCGAAAAAGGTTCGCCGACGGGTCTTCCGACTCGGTTGTCGGCTAGGTAAGAAGAAGACAAGCACGGAACAAAGCCGGTCGCGGGAGGCGATATATTTTACGCGTCTACCGGAAGTGCGGTGGTATGCTCGAGGAGGGGATCAGAAAAGGATGGAAAAGAGAAGCGGGAACGGGGCACACACGCAAGGTTTCCAGAGAATACGGTGTAGAATGCACGGTGTACCTCGTGAGAATGGCGGATATGGAGGCGGTTTTTTGGAGTGGGGGCGTAAAGAAGGGCCCGAGGGGGTGCGTTTCTTCGCCTCCTTTTCTTCTTCCGTTCGAGTGTCGGCCAAAGTGAGGCTGATGTGATTTGACTACATTCACACCTATGTCGACGTCCTGCTCTCGCCTCGTCCTTTGATGCCAGGACCATTTCGTGCACCTCCCACCGGTCTAGCAATACCGCGTGAAAAACAAAAAAAGAAATGGTCGGCTGCAACCGTGGCCCTCGTATGGCACTCGAACGGTTCTGAGGCCGTAGGTATTATGGTGCTGTTGTCGCGAGCTAAGGAGCTACGATCGAGGGTCCACGGTTTCAAGAAGAATACGACCCAGAAAGAACATAGGGAACAGAGACGGAAGAACTGCGCGGAGATCCAGTTACTTCCAGTTTTGCCCGACGACTCTTTCTGCTCTCGACTCTTTTGCAGATATATCCAAACTTGTCCTCTTTTTTTATTCGCCTCTTTCGCCTGTCTCGCTTGGAAACAGGTTGATGGAGGTCGAGACCAAGGGTCACGGTCCCGTGCAAGTGTTTTTTCTTACGATAATCAAATCTCGGACCAATTGAATTAATCCTGTTAATGCTGGAATTCTGGTATGATAATTGCACATTCATTTTTAGTTGACAAATTATCACATCTCATTCTTGAGTGATTATATCAGATTGTCTGAGGTATACTTTGAAGTTTTTCAAATTTTGAGACTGAAATTTAATGCTCACGTCATAATCAAAATTATGTATCCCCAGAAACATACATCTCTTAAACCACGCATCGCACTAATCTGACAAGAAGCAAAAGAAACTCCACTAGATTTCATAATTGATCGCGCATCATTCGTAAGAAAGCTAACGAGCTACAGTCAGAAGCCTTGCCTCGAAAGCACTTCGTCCAAGATTTTATTAATCCTATTCATAAAGTAGTTTCAGTTTCATACGGAGAAAGAACAAGGCAAGTCGAGTCCGCCCTTCGTATAATCTTCCTTGCGGCTGCTACTTCGAGTTTCATGGAAACGCGTCTTCATTAAGCTGCTTTCTAACGCGTACGCACTCGGAGCTTCTCGGAAGAGGAGATTCGACCGAGTCCCCATCCCGTTGCACTTTTGTTTTAACGAACTCGTCTCCATCGAGTGTATCAATGCTGCTTCACTTCATCTCGTTAAGAAACCGAGTCCCTCTTGATGTCTTCACGACGCGAAAGGAGGGATCATTTGACAGCGTTTTTTTTCACGGCTTTCGTGTGACTACGATGACCGAAGAGAACTTTGCGATATACATACAGTGTTAGATTATTATGCGTTCTATGGTCATGCGTGAGATTGCTATACGTTGTATGACCATGGAAATTGCTACATGTTGGCTGAGTTGTATGGGTAGGTGCTGAATCATCGTTGGGTACGCGTTAAATTATTTCGAGTTATGTGACTACGTGGTAAATCGCCACATTGTATGGTTATGCGTTAGCTACCATGTGCTGATCTATTATCCTTACCATGCGTTGAATTATTAAGCTGACATATTTTACTGAATTATTGTTATTTGTATCGCGCATTGGACTACTATATTTTATAGTGTTGAGGGATTATGTATTGAATTTCTATCATTCGTACTACTATGTGTTGTATTACCACGCAACGAATCACTACATTTTGTATTGGCAGGTGTCGAATTATCACGCAGTGAACTACCATTTTTTGTGTTAACACGTGTCGTATTACAACCGCGCACCGAACTACTATGTTTTGTATTACCACGTATCGAATTACCATGCGTTGAATTACCACTTTTTGTATTACCGTGTCGAATTACCACTTTTTGTATTACCACGCATCGGATTGCCACTTTTTCTATTATCACGTGTCGAGTTACCACGCATCGAATTACCATATTTCGTACTACTATGCGTAGTACTACTCTCATATGACGAATACCACGCATCGAAATCCTATATTCTGTATTACCACGTATCAAATTACCACGCATCGAATTACCATTTTTCGTACTACCACGCGTCGTACTACTATCATATGAACTACCACGCACCAAACTACCATGTGACGAATTACTATGCGTTGAAGTATCAGCTTTCGTACCACTACATATCGTATTCGCACGCATCGAAGTACTATATACTGTACCACCACGTGTTCAATTACCACGCATCGTACTATCTTCGTTATCACTGAAATCCCATATTCTGTATTACCACGTATCAAATTACCACGCATCGAATTATCATTTTTCGTACTACCACGTGTCGTACTACTATCATATGAACTACCACGCACCAAACTACCATGTGACGAATTACTATGCGTTGAAGTATCAGCTTTCGTACCACTACATATCGTATTCGCACGCATCGAAGTACTATATACTGTACCACCACGTGTTCAATTACCACGCATCGTACTATCTTCGTTATCACTATGCCTCATATTACAACCACCAAACTACTATGCACCAAACTACTATGCACCAAATTATTCTTTGTAACACGTATTGAACTACCACGTCTCGAACTACTATACCACTAAAGAACGCCATGTAGCCTACAGTTATATCGTTAAATGCCCACAATATTTCCCTAATTTATACAAAGCCGATTGCACTCTCTACCACGGTAACAATATCAATAACTCGTGTAATACAGCATATTGTCCACCTTATTATCATTGATCTTAATGAGAAGCATACGTACTTGATCATAAGAAATGGTCAACTACCATTGCAGCAGTGGTTCAATTAAGACGATACAAGGATCATATCAGATTTCATAAAGCAACATCACAGACTCCATTATGCCCGTTCGTTAAGAAGGTTTTTCGGCTTTTTCACCGGGCTAATAAACTCGTTTGCAGTGTCCGTTCCCGCGAAATTGCACTCCGCTATCCTTGATTTACGTCCCAAAACCGGTAGTGGTTGTGCGCTCGCGAGTGCCCGACACCCACACTCAGCTTGGTTCGTTCTGTACATTTTACAACGCTATTCTTAGGTTTCGATTGCGAAATCAATCTCGCTCTCGCTCGTAACCTGGAGCGTGTTCGCTCGCTTGCTCGTTCGCGGAACACGGAGCTACAAAAGAGAGCGTGTTAGAGAGAGGCAGAGAGCGCCCACTCTCTCTAGGTATCAACCACGTCCTCGTTGGTTGTTATATAGCCGGTACACGCCGATATAACTACTGTACGTCTCATAATTCATTAGAGCGGTATTCTTGCCTTCGATGCGGAGAAGCTGTTATCCAGCCACGGTGCTGTTCGCGTGAAAAGTGCGGAGAACCGATGGAGAGAGCGGGAACGATACACACCGGCTACGTTTCGTATTAATTAGCGGTAATATCGCCGGTTGGAGAACGTTTCAGCTTAAAACGTCGCGTAATGGCTCCTCTTAATCCGATGACCGCAGTATCCATTACCAAGTAAACTATTTTAGCGAATGTATGTACATGTTACGTTTCGGTTTACGGGTTCGGATGCTATTTGTCGCGCAGTTGGAGTTAATTACTAATTTGATACGCGCGGAATTTGATCGACACCGTCATTAATTGGGCTTTCTCAACATGGACGGCTACGTTGGGAATCCAGTTCAACCAGTTATTAGGTGTGCAACGGAATGATCCTAATTTTTCAATCAAGTTCAAGGATTATTTCCATCCTTCCTTGCTAACAAGTTCATAAATTTCCTTTACAACTCATAAATGTATTAGTTTAATATAATTATATGGGTAGAAATATACTGTGTGTATACAAATATTATTTACTGTTGTTAAATATAATTGTATAAACATAAATTGTCGAAAACATTTCTTATTTTTCGTGATTATAACTTTCTGTCTTTTCAGAAGGTCATTCTTCTATAATGTCTTATTACTGTCTTTATATTAATATTTTAAATGTTTGTTTATTTTTAATGTTTATTTGTATGTCGTTATTTTCTTATTATTGCTTACAACAATTAAAGAATGTACACTTTACGAGGATTGTACAGTTAGTTTTAATATCTGTGTACATAACCTCAAAGAGGCGGGAAAATCAACTACTTTCAAAATATAATTAAATGTATTTTAAGGTTCTTTTAATAAAATTGTTTAAACAGGAAATGTTTTAACCAAATTGTTACCAATATTTTCTTAATAATTATTGAGAGATTTAACTGTATTTTCTTGTTTAAAATTATAAAATCATTTTTAATATACTTGTCTACTGTATATAACCTAAAAAGAGCGGGAAAATCATTTACATTTAAAACGTTATAATTAAATGTATTTTAAGGTTCTTTTAATAAAAGTGCATAAACAGAAAATGTTTTAACAAAATTGTTAGCAATATTTTCTTAATAATTATTGAGAGATTTAACTGTATTTTCTTGTTCAAAATTATAAAATCATTTTTAATATACTTGTCTACTGTACATAACCTAAAAAGAGCGGGAAAATCAACTACTTTCAAAACGATATAATTAAATGTATTTTAGGGTTCTATTAATAAAATTGTATAAACAGAAAATATTTTAACTAAATTGTTAGCAATATTTTCTTAATAATCATTGAGAAGTTTAAGTTTATTTTCTTGTTCAAAATTATAAAATCATTTTTAATATACTTGTCTACTGTACATAACCTAAGAAGAGCGGGAAAATCAACTACTTTCAAAACGATATAATTAAATGTATTTTAAGGTCCTTTTAATAAAATTGTTTAAACAGAAAATGTTTTAACTAAATTCTTACCAATATTTTCTTAATAATATTGGAAGAGTTAAGTGTATTTTCGTGTTTAAAATTATCAGATCACTTTTGTCTACATAACCTGAAAAGTTCAATCGATTTGAAAGTAATACGATGAAATTTATCTCGAAGCAAATTTCGTTGTGACTAATAACCAGGTTACGTCCATGACGGAGATACATCGAATTTATTTGCCATCCGTAACCCCTTAACCCACGAGTTTCCCGTGAAATAAACAGGAATAACTCGATCAAGCGAAGTCTTCTCCAAAAACAAGTTAAAACAACCTCTGCAGACCTCCCGTACAGTTCCCATTGATTTACCGTTCGATAACAATGGCTTATGTAACTACCGTACACCGCGTGATTCATCGCGGAGACATTCTCGATCATCCGCAGTCTCTCGAATTAAAACGAGTTTGGAATTAAAAGGACTAGGACAATGCATGTATTAATTATCGGTATCATCCTCAGCGGTTTCTCCTTCAGTTTTATCCGAGTAGATATACACGACACCGAAACGAGACGATTGCGTGTGGCAAATTGAATCGATACACCGGTTTCGGGTTAAAATACGTTCTTCCAGGGACAAGTAAATCGAGGGTGACGTCACCCACGCGAAATCGCGATGTACGCCCGACCGATACCGGTCTTTCTGGATCACCGTGTAGGCGTTATCCGCCGATGTAACTACCGTACGACCTATAATTCATTAAACCCTTGAGATCGCCGGCCACGACCTAATGGAGCTGCTATCTCGTCGGCTTTCTCGAGACGCGTTCTGCAGAAAGATCTCCTGGTACCTCCTTGTGGTAAAGGATGGACCGAGGAAGCGGCAGAAAGAATGGAGGGAAGCCGCGTATTAATTATCCGACAGTCTCGAGAGCGAAGAATGGCGATCTCGAAACGTTTTTAAATTTTTAAAACGATTTATGTTGAACGCAATCTTTTTGCGAAACGTTATTGACAAGAAGTTGATTCTGGTATGCAATTTTTTATTCACACAGGAGTACATATGTTCGATTGCGAAAGCTTATGTGCTTTTTACTCATTTCGTTCTTAATCACACGATACAAATTTGGTAAATTCATTATAATGTTCAATAATTTTTATGTGTATACTATCCTGACATAAAATATTACGTGATTGCCAATATTTTAATATTGTGAACAAATATCTTTGACAATGAGAATATAGCAATATCAACCTACATCAGGTCTTCCATAAGAGGTCTCCATAACGTTTCAAATAAGATCTTAAGAAGGTTTCAACCTTCATAAACTTCTCAGATTCCATAAACCTCGTAATTGTCAAAGTGTCAACAGCCCATCGGATGCTGATAAAAGAGCAAAAGGCAGCAATCGACACCACAGAAGGATCCTTAAGGACCACTTGTCCCAACTCTCAGTACCCAAATTGTCATTGATCATCAATTGCCAACAACTTCTTAATTATGAATTACCAACTAATGCTGTACCAACTACTTCTAATGCTGTATACAATTTCCCCGTTTTCGAATAATTTTTAAGAAACATAGACCTATGGAGGACACCAGAGCTCTTGGTGAAATCCTCTGGGAAAGAAGCACGCAAAGGTCCCAAAGATGGCTGATGCCTGTAACCAACACCATCCAGGGCAGCCATTTGCGAGACATAAGGAATCCGATACGGGGTTTTGATCTCCATAAGCCCACCCTCGATCGTGTTACCCGCGGACACCTCTCTCGGCCTGTATGCCAAGACCCGGCAACAAAGATGGCCGTGGTTCCCCGCGATATTCGCCATTATGCGAACGACGACGACCCGTGCTCGAGCATCCTCGATGCCCTTTTTTGACCTCCGGTTTGAGGTTAATCATCCTCTTTGTCGTCCCAGCCTTCGTTTCTCAGTTATGGGATCCCCGGAAATAGGTGGAGGGATTGTTCCTCGTGGGCTAACGAATATTAATATCGGGTTGAGCTCGTTTTATTATTAGGAATTTCTTTGGGGTTAGGATGAGAATGTGGGAATTTGTAGGTTAAGGATTTGGGTTAGGATACATCAGGGATTTGGTAGTTTAGGAATTTGAGGATTTATGAATTAGGGAAGTTAAGAATTTGGGGATTTAGGAGTTTGGAGACGTAGCTATTTGGAACTGAGGGAGTTAGCTATATGGAAATTTAGGTATTTGCGGAATTAGAAACTTTGGGAGTATAGAAATTTGGAGAGCTAGATTTCTAAGGATCTATTTGGAGATTTAGGAATTAGGGAAGTTGAGAATTTGGGGATTTAGGAGTTTGGAGACATAGCTATTTGGAACTGAGGGAGTTAGGTATTTACGGAATTAGTAACTTTGGGAGTATAGAAATTTGGAGAGCTAGATTTCTAAGGATCTATTTGGAGATTTAGGAATTAGGGAAGTTGAGAATTTGGGGATTTAGGAGTTTGGAGACACAGTTATTTCGAACTGAGGGAGTTAGGTATACGGAAATTTAGGTATTTGCGGAATTAGAAACTTTGGGAGTATAGAAATTTGGAGAGCTAGATTTCTAAGGATCTATTTGGAGATTTAGGAATTTGGAAAATTAATTATTTAAGGATTTTGAAGTTTGGTAATCTGGAAATTTGACGACTTAGAGTTCTGAGAATATAACTATTTGTTAAGCTTGGAATTTGACATATGTGTATAATATACGTGTTTCTAGGTTAGAAATTAAAATCGCAACATATAAAGCTAGAAATTAACAAATTTGAAACCACCAGACGCTAATAATTAAAAAAATTCTAAAACTTGAACACCCTGTATCACACATCCCACATATTTTCACATCTACCGCACCTAATCAAAATGGCGCCGCGAAGCCTGCAGGAAGAGCGTCGTCCAACTCGTCAAACGTGCAGGATATCTCTCAGGCAGTTAAAAGCTGCAGAAACCAATGACCAGATAACACATTCATCGTTAGCGATGACTTTGAGATAAACAGAGTAACAGTTCCCGATGCACACAGCGTGGAGGACTCTATTAATCGAGTTCTCGTAAACCGTTTCGAAAATACAAACGGGTTCGTGGATTTTTGCTCGTCCGAGAAACCGGCTCTCTACGCGACCAGTCTCTCTCGCGGTCTCCGCGACGACCGATAAGAAAAGTTTTCTGTTTTTGCGGTTTTGCAGTGAGTCAAGGCATTAGTAACGGGAATACCGAGCGCGACGCGGGCGTTCTCCTCGCTGGCAAATCGACCGGTGTATCGACGGACAAATTACCGGCTCGTTTTAATGGCACGCCGTGTGAAAACGATGACCGTGAGATTAAAGTATTATTTTCCGGGGCATTCCTACCTGCTTGTTGCACGAAATAAAACGAGACTGGGCCAGGTGACCTTTCGTGGTCGCTCAGCCAGAGCGGACTACGCTCGATCGTTAGATAACGGTTAGGATGCTAGGTGTTATCTTTTTAACGCTTGTGACAAAACTGGATATCTAGTATGTGATTTCTTGGTTGCAAATTTGATTCGATGAAATTTTAATCAGTTTCAAGATCGTAGTCTAGGTGTTTTGTAGGCAGGTGTTTTTGGTGAAAAGTAGACAGTGGATCCTCTGTATGCTAGTTTTGGATTCTTTTTTTTGGAACCTTTTCATGGGTGGATTTGATAACTGGAAATTCAGGTTTAGATAGGATTAACTGTTTAGGAGGAGATAGCAGGAAAGTACATTTTCAAGTGTGATATGTTTCAATCTAATAGTGGAATTCTAGGTGATAGTCTGTTCTTGAAAATCTCTGGTATGTGCGGTTCACATTAGTTACTGAATTAACCATGTGTGACGGAATGTAGGGAAATTTAGATAGACACTTCAGAATGTGGAAATGGGAAAATATGGAAGTTTGAAAAGTAGAAATTTAAAGATATAGATATCTGAGAGCATAGAAATTGGGGAATATTGAGATTTGGGAGCACAAAGATTTGAGAAATATTAAAATTGGAAAATGGACAAATTTGAAGATATGGAAATCTGAGATATAACGATTGAAAAATATAAAAATTTGGAAATATAGTCGTTTGGCAATAACGAAGTTGGAAAATATGAAGATTTGACGCTATAGAGATTGAAAAAATATAAAAATTTAGAGATGTAGAGATTCAAGAACAAAATTGAGAAACATGGAAATTTAAAAAATATAGAAATTGAAGAACAAAATTGAGGAACATAGAAATTTAAAAAATATAAAATCTGGAAAATACAAAAATTCGAAGACATAGACATTCAAGAACATAGATTAAAAAAATAAAAACTAGAAAATATAAAAATTTAGAAATACAGACGTCCAAAAACAAACCAGAACATCCAAAAAAACTAAAAATTGTAAAATAAACTTGCCAGTAAAAAAATCCCAAAATGACGAAAAAATTGTTAAATTGAACCCCATAAAAAAATAGCCAAGTACAAAGAAAACTTTCTATTATGTTCAACGAAAGAATATTGAAATAAAAGTATGTCGACATAGCTCTCTTACCAAAACCATCATGCACATTAAATATTCTACAAACAAGAAACGAGTTAAAACAAGAACTTGTTACAAGGTGATTTCTGGGAGGTCTAAATGTCAAGAGGGCGGAATTCATGCAGGACAGAGCATTCCTCATTCGACTTTCCGGTGAGAATAAACAGGTTGAATTAAGTGTCTGGTAATTTATATCCTTGAAAAAAGTGCTTAAAATAACGTGCTGATAAAATCTAGCATCGAAGTCCCCGTTTCGTGCATTTCTTTATGGCTGCATTAAAATAGCCAGGTCAGACGCGCCGTAATGATATACAACAATTAATTTGTCTCATTTTCCCCGAGATCGTCAGCGATAAATAACATAGTAACAAACGTAATCTAAATCTGAAACTTTTATGTACCCTTGTCACGCTGAAAAAAGCTGAATAATGCAATTCTATCTTAGATAACACCTCGATCGAGAAAAATGTACAAATATTTCATTCGGAACGTTTCAACCTTGCGACTATTCCGTGTTATCGACTAAAATATCATCTCATAAAATCAATAAAATTCGCGTTTAATCAATGCGGTGCCATAGATACGGATACCGCTAACGAGACAGATCGAAGATAGCGTTGTAGCGGCTGTAAATCGCGAGGAAATCGAACCAGTCTAATTACCCTTGTAACGCGACGAAAGTTGCCCGCGATAAAAAGAAAAGGTGTCGAAGGAATCGGTCGGTGAACGCGTTGGATTCGCACGCGATACTTCAATAATAAATATCGGTTCGATCGATCAGGCTCCCTGGCCGATTTACCTGGCCGATACTCGATCGGCGACGAGTATCTCCTCTGTCGACCGTTAAAGCTGGCCGTTAAGCGAGTTTCGCGAAATGAAAAGCCGCCGTTAAGCGATAAGGTTGACCGGCCTGTTAAGAGATCGGTCGCGCGAGCGTTTTTCACGCTTCGCTGGATCTGGCCCGTACGCAACCCGTGTCGAGATAAAGGGTTGCCTCTCCGTTAAGCCTGCTTTCGTGTACTTCTGCCTCACACCTACGTAATCGGGCATAACATAAAGTCTGAATATCCGACGGGGACGAGCCGCGTTATGTACAGTCGAACGCGAAGCTGTTTTCTCTAGGGACGCGGGGCAAGGGAGGACGTAATCGAGGTGTGTGGACACTGCTGGTTATTGATCTTTAGTTGCTGGATGTTTATGTTCAAGTTTTGAGAATTTGGTATCATGAGAAGTTTCGAATTTAGGGTTTGATACGAGAATTTGGAAGTTTGATTATATAGGAACTTAGGAATTTGAGAATCTGGGGATTTGGATATCTGAAAATTGTATTATATGAGAACTTAGGAATTCGAGAATCTAGAGATTTGGATATTTCGAAGTTTATTTGGGAATTTGACTATTTGATAATTTAATAAGCTAAAAGTTTGCGAACCTAGGGATTTGTAAACTTAAGAATTTAGAAATTTGGTTGGTTGGTATTAAAAAATTGTAAATTTGAAAATTTGAAAAACTTGAAAATAGGAACAGAAAAATTCGAAGCTTAAATATTTCAAAGTTACCTTAGATATTTATTTCCCCAAAGATTTTAACACTCCTACACTTGCTGTTATCTTCCCTTCCTCGCAGATACATACAAAACTATCGACAAACTTCATTTACGCAAACAATCCCCACATAAAAAAGTCTCATCCCAAATCGAAAGCAGAACTGATCCAAATCAGAAAATTGCGTCCACCACAACAACCAAACAATCCATTTCCCAACGAACTACTTAAATGCAACAGAATCACAGATAATGTTCAGCATCTCCATTTCGATGCAACAGAATTCACGTGGTACGGAAACGTATCCGAAGAAGAATACGAAGAGTATTCAGAGCCGTAGATTCCACATTGGAGCACCGTTCAATCTCCTCCACGTTCGCGAGTCAATACGTCGGCGGATTATTTTTATCAGGGATGATTCTATCGGCGAGAAGCTTTCCCAGAGAAATTTACTTCTCCTTTCGCGACGATCGTAAAACAGCGCGCGGATCGACGGTTCATGGTCGCCGCGAGCCAATTTTCGAGAACACCCTTACCGCGTTCGAACTCTCTTCAGCTACGCTTCCGCGATCGTATTTTACGATTTCCAATTGCGGCAGAAAATCGAGAAAACGCGACGCGAGCGTCTCGCGCTTCCGCGAGCGGACTCGAGAAATACGTAGCGTAAGCGAGAACTCGTTTCTCACGTGTCGAGAATCCGTCTGCTCCATGGTTTCCTTCTTTTTCTCCGATTTTTTTCTTCTTCCCGTTTCTACTCGTTCCCGATACACGAGCGTGATTTCCAACTCGCTCCACGGACGCGTAAAGTGCACCGATAAACTGCGAGCTTTACGCGGTATTGCGAAAGCCAGACCTTATTCGAGGTACGCCACTGTGGCTTCTATTACACCATAAAACTACGCCACACTGTAGTCGCACGAGTATTAACTATTCACGCACCTGTTGACCCTTGGAGAATTCGTTGATTATGGTTTTTATTGGTCGGTTTAGAGATCGACTAATTTGCTGATTTGCGAAAGTGACAATTGCATTGTTCGATTAGTGAATCATTTTTTCGGGTTGCTCGAGTTTTAGGTATTTGAATATTTTCTAAATTGCAAGGTTAGATAGGCACATCAATTTTTAAATACCCTGCTGTTCAAATTTTGGAAATTTTTGCAATTTTTAGTATTCTTGAATTTTTACGTGTTTAAATAAATCTTCAATTAACCACCCAATATTAAAGACGCCACATCACAGCACATCAACGTTAATAATTTCTCCGAGTCCACAAATCTAACAAGAAACAGCATCGCTATTAATAAACGCTTATTCAAATTCCACCCGACACCGCGTCATATCAAAGAAAATCAGTCAGACTCTCCCCGGAAATAACACGCATAAACATTCTTTCAATCGAAGCGTGACAATGATTCACACACTGACTCACTGACCGCAAAACTCCCAGGAAAAGCCTCGATTTCGCGTTAAAAAGAACACGTTGCGATTCCATCGACAGGGTTGCTACAGCCAATAAATCACGATTTATATTTGCAATTTTTCACTCGCAGAAATCACGCGGACAAATGTGCAACGGACGAACAGGCGAGGAAGAAGGACGAGCCAGGTTGTCTGGCGCGCCATGGACGGTGGTGGAATGCGCGAAAGGGGGAACGAAGGAGGATGAAGGGTAGTACAGCTAATACATTATTGCATTACGCACAACTAGGTAGGTAGTTAATTTAGCGGTGGCATGCCTCCATCGCTGGCCGATTGCTTCTTGTATTGCCTTCCACCAGTCATATGCATAATGTAATTGACTTCATCCCGCGCTACCACGCTTTTCGCCTCGTCGTTCGCCTTTATTCTGCCCTCCTCGACTGTCCTTACCAACCTTGGTCGCGAAAATTAATTTACTAAATCTTCAAGATGATGGGTGTCGCCATTATTATTTTATTTACAGGGTTTGGACACTTCGATTTTGTTCAAATTTTGTGCAATAATGGAGCACGTATGAGGAAACAATCCTACAAAGCCTTAAAGAAAGGAGGGACTTGTTCGGACATTCAACGATAACCTCCAATGGCGTGTAAGTCTGCTGTAGAACCTAATTAATTTTAAATTAATTACAACACTGTATTATTCCAAAAATGGAAGATCAACGATGACCTCTAATGGTGTCCATAAAGGTATAAGTCTGCTGTAGAACATAATTAATTTTAAATTAATTACAACACTGTATTATTCCAAAAATGGAAGATCAACGATGACCTCCAATGGCGTCCACAAAGGTCTGCTGTAGAACCTAATTAATTTTAAATTAATTACAACACTATATTATTCGAAAAATAGAAGATCAACGATGACCTCCAATGGCGTCCACAAAGGTCTGATGTAGAACCTAATTAGTTTTAAATTAATTACAACACTGTATTATTCCAAAAATGGAAGATCAACGATGACCTCCAATGGCGTCCACAAAGGTCTGATGTAGAACCTAATTAGTTTTAAATTAATTACAACACTGTATTATTCCAAAAATAGAAGATCAACGATGACCTCCAATGGCGTCCACAAAAATATAAGTCTCCTATAGAACCTAATTTTGAATTAACAACGACGCTATGTTATTCCAAAAATAGAAGATCCACAAGCTACTCAGAAGATTCACAAGCTACCTACATTTCTGTAATTCTTTTTACTTGCCACTCTGTAATGACAATGGTAGTTAGTCAATCACGATAGCCACCGAATTACGAATAGAAAACGTTCAGATCAATCCACGAGTCCTCCATCGGAGATAGCTTTTCATCCTCTTTTTCGTTCGTCCAATAAGCAATATATTACTTGTAGCGCGGCATCCTAAGGACGTTTATGCCAGCTCACGCAGGCGTGTGAACGATAATCTACGGTTCGCGATTTTTTACCGACTTCTTTAAGCGAAGTCTCAGGTGTCTGATTCGTTTAAGGTGCAGACGCATTTCTGGTACGTCTCGTCGTCGTAAAATGGCGCGCGAATATTACTATCAGTTCATTTTGTGTGATTTAATGTCGTGCCGCATGAATTTACAAAGACATTGCGCTTCGAGAGGGCGCTTTAATAGAAGTTGAAGCATTCTTGGGATATTTTTATGGAGGATATTTGTATAGCGCCGAGTGTTCTGAAGAAAGTGGGGATGTACGGAGACACAATAGGGTGCAAGTTTTATTTAATATTTATTTTATTATTAATGTTATGTAGAACATTTTAGTGTTTAAGCATGTTAATAATTAAAATCTGTGTCGATTCTTCTTTAATTCAATTCTGTTAGAATAGAATGGATGGTTATTTTAAAAATTCATTCCGAGAATGACTGGTATTTTTAAATTTAATTAAAAATTACGTCTTTTGAGTTTTTATAAAATACAGTAACCTTAAACACTTTTGTACGTAAAAATTATAACTTGTATAAAATTTGTTCTAAATTAATTTTGACAATATATAATTGTTAGGTTTTTGAATTTCTATGGAACAATTATTTCGATCTTCAATATTATTATAATGTTTAATAGTTCAACACCATAAGTTTTCAGTACATCCGCGAATTATTATAAAATATTTATAAATCCCTATTTTATTCAAGAAAACCACATCTCAAAAAGATCTCTAATTCCAACCTGAGAAAATATCGAACTTAATTTCCTGCACAATCTAATTATAGAAACCAATAAACTATCGAACTTGATAACGATAATTAATTATTACGACGACTTCACCGTTTATGGCATCTCGCAATTCATGAAATTTATCTCTCAATGAAAACAGGAATGAATGGATTCAATAGAGTTTTAAGCCGTAACAGTAGAAATAGAGATAAAAAAAATTACCCGTCAGTGTGCGTGTATGACTGGAATTTTTTGAAATAAAACAGCATGAAGAGTTCGATTCACGTCGGGACTTGGGCGAGGCAGCTAATGTGCGGGCAGGAATAAAATATATATGGTAATAATACTGAGATGCCTCCATTTTATCCTCCCGTAAAATAATCCATATAACAGCGAGAGGAGCTTTCGTTTATTTCTCGATTTCCGGAAATCCGTCGAATAAAGTGCGTTCTCTTCATATTGGTTTGAAATGGCGGATGGAATTTTGGGGTTTTGGGGATGTGGGTATTTTAGGGTATGAGGGTTTAAGGATGTGGGAGTTTGGAGATTTGGGGATTTGGAGGGTTGAGGATTTGGGGATATGCTAGTTTAGGGATGTGGAGGTTTGAGGATTTGGGGATATGCGAGTTTGGGGATGTGAGAGTTTGGGGATGTAGGTGTTTGGGGATGTAGGTGTTTGGGGATGTAGGTGTTTGGGGATGTGAGAGTTTAAGGATATGGGAGTTTGGGAATGTGGAAATTTGGAGGTTTGAGGATTTGGGGATGTAGGTGTTTGGGAATGTGAGAGTTTAGGGATGTGGGTGATTGGGGATGTGAGAGTTTGGGGACATGGAAATTTGGAAGTTTGAGGATTTAGGGATATGTGAGTTTGGGGATATGGGAATGTGGGGATGTCAGAGTTTGGGGATGTGGGTGTTTGGAGATGTAGGAGTTTAGGGATGTGAGAGTTTAAGGATATGGGAGTTTAGGGATGTGAGAGTTTAAGGATATGGGAGTTTGGGAATGTGGAAATTTGGAGGTTTGAGGATTTGGGGATGTAGGTGTTTGGGAATGTGAGAGTTTAGGGATGTGGGTGATTGGGGATGTGAGAGTTTGGGTCATGGAAATTGTGAAAATTTAAGGATTTAAGAATGTGAGAGTTTGGGGATATAGGAATGTGGAAATATGAAAGTTTGAGTACATAGCAACATAAAAATACAAGAATTTATAGAAATTAACTAATGCAGGAATTTAGGAATTCTAATACCCTAACCTTTGAAAATGTAAGAATTCGACATTCAGAAACCGCGGTATTCAACATTTCAAGAATTCAGTAATACACATAAATCAATAAATCTCAAGTTTGAAGAAATCAATAAATCTCAAGTTAATCGTCAACCGCCTACATGCGAACAACCGGCACTTTCACATGCGTGCACTCTGTCAGCCCATCATCGTCGCAGAAACCGAAAAGAGAGGAAGGTAGAAACAGAATTTCATTGAATCACGGTTATGCTCACAATGCGTGACGGAATTCTGATGGATCGTGGTCGCCAGTCGTTACGGAGTAATTGTCTCACGGGTATAGATGTATATATGACCAACGGGGCCCGATATATATGTCCAGTGAACCGGAAAGGTCAGTTTAATGTTTCAACGACTCTTTACACTGACAGATACATCAGAGGTTAGCGAACGATGCAACGATCTACTCGTGATCTCTCCGATTGCGGCAATATCCGAGTCGTTTCAAGACATCGAGACGATTTCGTTCGCTCGTTTATCCGTCGTCTCGACACCGCAGACTGAAACGAAATGGCGTCTCATTGCACTTTACGTGGATGATGAACGCTCAACCGAATCGATTATTCTTGTTTCTTAATATTTTTATGGATACTTTACTTTCTTTTTGTTTAAACATAATGTAGTTTATTATTTTATATCAACTTTTTATTGGATATACACATATGTGTATATTGTTGGACGTCTTGGATAATTTATAGGAACTCGGTTACGATTTATTGACTATTAATTTTACAGTGTTTTAAGCTACTTTTGAGGTTATTTTCAGATATTTATTATGGAAGTATAATATTAACTTGATACGAGTAACATTGTAATTACATACAGTACATATGTGGATGCACAATGTACATATATGTATATGAATCACAAGATATGCATAATACTAATACGTACAAACATAACAAAGTTAAGTTTTAAGTTGTTAAGATAATGTATTTTATTACTGTATATCGATTTTGTTAAGTGGTAGCTTTTCTTATTCGACATACACATATGTGTATGCTGTCTGAACGTCTTAAATGATTTATAAAAATTGAATTGGTTACGATTTATCGACTATTAATTTTACAGTGTTTGAAACCACTTTTGAGGTTATTTTCAGATATTTATTATGAGAATATAATATTAACTTGAATAACATTGTATGTACACATACAATAGAGTTTTAAGTTACTAATCAAATATAATATTGCCAATTGAGACTACATATTTGTTCCACAAAAATAAAATCGTATTTCTATTTTTGTAGAACACCAGACTTGTTTGTGAATAGAATTAATTGTGCCAGCTCTAAGTGGACTCTTCTTTCATTTGCATCTGGCAGTTTAATTAATTTGAGTTAATAATTCATAGCTATTACTTTAAACACGTGACTCTATCGTGTACATGCATATTAATGTCCTCGTGATAAAAGCTTGAAGAGGACCTCGAAAGTAGGTTGAAACGTTACGAAATTGATAAGCAAGGTAAAATGCGCATAAATTAAAAATATCCAGAAATATTAAAAAAAAATCGTTTAAGAAATAAAACAGTTCCCTTTAAAAATACCTGGTAAGATCTTATCGAACACCTTTACTTTCTGTTTATCAGCTCGATTGCATTGATTGTACGTGTTAAGTTTCTAACAGCAAGGACAATAAAACAAGGCGACAACGAGAGTCAGACACGACAAACTTTCTTATTATTTTTCGTTGGAACGCGTCCGTATATTACGTCGCATCCCCATTGAAATGGCGTTCGATAGCGATAAAGAGCGTTGAACGGAGTCGCCCACACGCGAACGTATCGCTAATTATACCAGTTAACCACGTCCCGAAAGAAGTCCCTCGCACCTTCTTTTTTCCACGCGTCTCATCGATTCGCTCGATCCGCGATAAATGTCTTTATGCGATCCGCCAGAACCGCGAGCCGTGCTCTCGGTATCTGGTCGGCGGCCATTTCTCAAAACGTTCCCGAAGTAAACTGTTGCAAATTAAGGTTGCACAAGGAGCCAGCGGTCATTTCTCAAGCTGTCTCCCGGCATAAATTATTGCAAACGAAACCCCGCGACGAAAGAAACGCATAAAGTGCCTCTCCTCTCTTTGTACCGTGGCGCTCTCTTTCCCCCTTCTTCCTCGCCTTCGTTTTTGCCCTCTTCGTCCTTTCTTCCTTCGAGCAAGGTACGCCGATATCGTCGCTAATCGAGCCGGTAAAAAATAACCGGGGTCGCGACACTGCTTCGACGCGTTACTAGGCTGATTATCGAGAGGTTGATACGGTGTCGTAAATTAGAGAAGAAAGGAGAGGACTTTTATCGTTTACCTGGCTATCGGTCGATTTTCGCCTACGTTCGTTTTGCCCGTGACTTTTAATGACTGATTGGATTACGTACCTGGAACAAAGAAAAAAAAGATGGACAGTGTAATTAGAAACGTCGAACTCGAGGAATTTTCGGGTATTGTTGTTTATGGCG